GTGTTAACTATTATGTAGCATAGTGTAAATGTATAGGGTAACATTTTGTTGTCTCACCTTTGCATGATGCGAGTTTCTTTATATTTTCATAAAATAAAATGCTACAGTATTTAACTTTCCCTTTCTATCGGCGAATGATGATTCAGAAAGAAAATGCGCCAGATGTCTGTTTGTTATAGCAACGAACGCAACTTTCATGAATCTGACTGACATATAAACAACGCGCTCTTATTTCAATGTTGTTGTTAATGCTGTGGTTATTTTAACGGTTTCCTTCGTACATTCGGTTTAACAACATTGTTAAAACACATTTCTCATTCAATGGAACTGTGCGATCATTCAGTGGAACTGTGCGTATGCGTTTAGACACTTACATTATTTTGGCTCCGTCCATGCTCAGGCAATATTGACAATGGTATGACCGAGAGGCTGGTTAAAAAAAAAAATTTTTTAAAAAGTGTCAGTGAGAGCTACGAACGGAGTGCGAGCGCAATCCTGTGACAGGCGGTAAATAGTGGAGCGCGTGAAGGCGATGTGAGGGCACGAACAACGCTGTTCAAGGTCTCCATTAATTCGTGCTTGTAGTAATTTAATGTGTATATATAGCATTGAATTGCTATAGAAATCGCGATTCCTTCGATTCTTAGCATTTTAAATCGATTACTAGCCGAAATCAGTGATTCACGATTCAAAAATCCATGTTTTAATATCGATGCATATGCATCGTCAGGGTTTGTAATCGATGCATTGAGAAAACGAGTGAATCGTTACACCCCTATCTTACAGGTTTGGAAAGACATGAGGGTGAGTAATTAATGACAATATTTTCATTTTTGGGTGAACTATCCCTTTAAAATGTAACTTTTTAGTTTATTCAGTTCGTTTTCATTAGGGTTTAAGCTCTCTTTTGAAAACTTTTTGGTTTAATCTGGTTATTGCATACATAAAAATATAACCATATTCTGATTAACATAGGAATATTCCTGTGTATGTAAACAGTTACTGAAGAAAACATTTAAAATGTGTGTGTACCTTCTGATTTTGCTCAGTGTGAGTTTTATGTGGGGGAATTTTTCCTTAAAGGTCTCATTCATGTCCTTCTTCAGATCTGACGGTTTGACATACTCTATTACTGTTGTCTGTTGGAGGGACAAAGAGAATTACAGTAAATACTGAGAATCTACATCAGTAAGATAATCAGCAATAAAAACTTTTTACAGTGTACATGTGTATAAGCAGTATTATCCAGTGGTCAGTAATGACGTCAGCTGGATAAGTTGTTTATCCGTGTCTGTAGGTCAGACCACCCTGCTTTCAGCACAGAGGTTTAATCACACAGATAGCCATTCATCTCTACATATGTGTCTGATAGGTAAATTAATGTCTAAAAACAAGAAACAAGACCAAACTGGGCTACATTAAACATCCCAAAACACAAACACACATCTGTGAATAGCTGAGCAGCAGTGTTACGTTGTTTGATTTAAAGAAAAAACAAGTCAGGTCATATTCCAAAAAAAAAAAAAAAAAAAAATTATGTAAAGATTGTAATATTTTAGAATACCTGGATCTACAAAAAAAACTAACAAACATGTAATGTCCAGCCCCTTTTACCGTAATGAGAATTTGGGGCAAAATTTCTCTAAATGAAATGAAATTATTCTTTCTTTCTTTTTTGACTTTGGGGTGAAAAGTAGATTTATATAAATGTGTAGTCATATATATATATATATATATATATATAGCATCTCTCACCATGTAAGAGGCAAAGATGAGCACTCTTTTGTGTTTTCCACATGGCCACCGTGGGTCACTGAGCATATTAGGGTCATAGTCAGGGTCTTCAACACCTGAAAAAAAACCAAATAAACACACACAAGGACATGGCTGTCAAATGAGCCAATCAAACCACTGATAACATAACTGAATGTGGCCTGTTTAAGCGTGTTTTTGAGATGGTGGTGACAGTATCTTCCTGCACTGACTAGGCATAGCTATATTAAAGGGGTAGTTCACTCAAAAATGAGACGTCTGTCACCTGTAGTGGTGAGTAAATGATGACAATTTTTATTTTTGGCTGAACGTTTCCTTTAAGACAACACACAAAATAAAAACGCAATTAGTACTCAGTACGTACAATCAGCGACACACTTGGTTGACACAAGTGTTGCTAATGCAGGCTTGCTAAATAAGGTACAAGAATACAGAGAGCTGAGTTGATGACTCACACACTCACTAAGTATTAGAATACAGGAATAGCAGCATTAGTAATGATCACACACACACGCGCGCGCACACACACACACACACACACACACGCCTGTGCCTGAAATACTGTGATAATAACCGTGTCTACCAAGTTGATTGAAATGTCCCTACAAACTCTGTGAATAATACAGCATTAAAACCTTTATTAAGCTCCCATCAGTTACTACACACTTTTTGTATGAGTGTGTGTTTGTTTTCTGAGTGTATGTGTTGCATGCTTGTGTGATTTAATTTCACCATTAAGACATGAATGAAAGAATTTCAGCGTGCACACAGTCCAGAATTAGCGTTAAAACCCTTTTAGGCGTTACAACACACACAGATATAAATAAATATATATATATACACATATACATTATATATATATACACCCATACATATATACACATATACACATACACATATATATATTAGGGCTGTGAGATATTGAAGAAAAACGCGATATGCGATAACTCAAATAATGCGATATTTGATATGTGATACGATAATGCTTAAAGTGCCACATGCTCAGATGAAACCGTTTTAAACTCAGCTGTTGCCGAGTCAGTTCTGTGAACTTCTATAACTATCTTGTGTCATATATATATGGTTATTTGTATGTATGCATGTATGTACCAAGAGTTCCTGTAAAACCACAACAAATTCCTTGTGTTTGCGCACACTTAAGTGGTGAATAAAGCTCATTCTGATTCTAATAAGAAAGCACCCCTACAACAACTTCTGAAAGTGAACGGTATGTGTTTTACTCGAGCATTACATAAAAATGTCATTTTAACATGAGTTTAGGAACTGAATAATAAAAAGGAAAAATAAAACACTGCGTAGTATTTACTCTTTGAATCAAATTGAATCACAAAATCTGTGTCAATTAATAACCCAGACCTAGTGGACACAGTACACCATGACCAAAAATAAACATTTACATATAAATTTAAAATTCAATTGCCAAAACTTAATTTTCGTTTTGTTTTTTTCCCGCTAAATGAAAACTTAAATATCGTTTTTGGCATTTCAGCCAACAATTAAATGTTCAGTTCTTCAAAAGTCTCTTATTCTCACCAAGGCTGCATTTCTTTGATCAAAATTACAGTAAAAACAATAATATTGTGAATTATTGCAATTTAAAATAGCTTTTTTCCACTGTAATATATTTTCAGATGTAATTTCTTCCTGTGATGCAAAGCTGAATTTTCAGCATCATTACTCCAGTCTCCAGCGTCACATGATTTTTCAGAAATCATTCTAATATGATGATTTGTTGCTCAAGAAACATTTCTTATTATTATCAATGTTAAAATGAATAGAAGGAAAAAAACAACAATTATTTGAAACCGCAATCTTTGGAACCATTATATATGTCTTTACTGTAACATTTGATCAATGTAAAGCATCCTTGCTCAGTAAAAACAAACTTTTGAAAGTTACTGTATATATCTTCACTATTAAAAAGTAAAAAACTTATCTAAATTGGTCAAGTAATACCAAATAAGACCAAGAAAGTGTATGTATAGAGTAGGTCTAGAGTTAGTCTACAGATATTCAGCTTATTTGAGGACAATACATGCCTATAGTAGGTCCTCACAAGTCTATATGTGCTAGTGTGTGTGTGTATGTGTATGTGTGAGATATACCCAGGTCCAGGCCGACAGTGCTGTTGAGGCGAGAGGGAGGATAACTGCAAGGGATGCTGTTTCTGGAATACGGCATGGGTAGAGCGAGATCCACTGCGGGCTTGTGGTGGTCCAGAGCGTTAGTGGGGTACAGGAACTGAGCGTACGACACCGTCTGCACAACAAATAAGATCATAAGCTGTCTGTCAGCCTGAGACATCCTGACAGCCCCTTTAACCTTCTGGGTGCATCAAATGAAGAGATATAAAGCTGTCATTCCTGAGCAGGTCCAGTGGTACGCTGAGCACAATCCTCTGTGACATTTCCTGACTGACTGATTGACAGGTGCAGGGATAGAATGACAAGCTCTTACCCTGCCGTACATGCCCAGCTCCACCCCCTCCAGCCCGGGAAGCATCTCTAGGGTGGTGGATATTCCTCCAGATGAGTGCCTCCGCCGCTGAGCATCCAGATGAGGGTCACTGACAAACAGACAGATTGACAGATTGACAGATGCTTGTTTTCATTGCTTAAATCCAAAATTAAGAACAGGGATGCCCAAACTTGTTTGTCAGCCGATCCCCTTTGACCTAAAGTAGTATCTGAAGTATACCCTGAGATTTTAAGTTAATATTTTCGATAATTTAAAGGGATAGTCCACTCAAAAATTTAAATTCTGTCATCATTTACTCACCCTCATGTAGTTCCAACCCCATGGAAACAATTTAAGGTATTTTAAATTATAATAATATTTTAAATGAAACCTGAGAGGTTTCTCTTTCTCTATCGAAAGACCAAGTAGATTCAAAAAGTCATAAAGATTAAACCATACGATTCATTTGTGTTTCGAAGATTAACAACCAAAGTCTTATGGGTTTGGAACAACATGAGGGTGAGTAAATAATGACAGAATTTTCATTTTTGGGTGAACAATCCCTTTAATAACACATTTACATGTTCATGTCTCTCTGATGTCGGATAATGGTCACATGACATGCACTTAAAACAATTAAAATTTTTAAGTTTAAGTTTTATTTTGACCTTTTTCATTTTAAAATTACTTCATTTTGCATTTTTACCATTTAATTAATTATTAGCTTTTCATCAACTCACAAACTCCAGTTTGGGAAACCCTGATTAAGAGTAAACCTTAGTTACTGAAGTCATTTACATATACAAGTCTTAAAGGTATAGCTATGACTGTTTTTAATGCAAGAAAGCTGCATTCATACTATAATTGATCTTCAGGGATAAATACTTAAGTGCTGCAAAGTGTTTGCATACAAAAAGTGTATCAAATTGGACTTTTGTGGCTTTATGTCCATGTTTAACTGCTCTGAGATCATCTGTGTGTTTGATATCATGGTAACACTTTACTTAAAGCCTTTATGTATAATGCATTATAAAGGGGTATAATGCATTATAATTATTCATAATGTGCATTGTAATACATTATAACTTGCCTAAATAATTATAACCGAATTTAAAATGTGTAGTGTAACAATTAATTGATAAGTGTTATAATTTATTAACTGGTTACAATTATTCATGATATTGTACAATGCATTATAAGGTGCATTACAAGGCATAATTAATGCATTAAAATTACTTTTATAATGCATTATACATAAAAGCTTTAAGTAAAGTTGTTACTGATATCATTGATTAAAATCCTTTATTTTAGTTGATATGTGAATTTAAAATGTCCCTTTTTTCTTTTCTGAGAAAACAGCCCTAAAATATTGATGACTCATCTTGTACTCCTAAAACTGTCCAATCAAACGCTCTGTAAGAATGTCTTTCCTCCTAATACCACCTACTTCTGACTAACTGCGACATACACTAAAATCTGTTGGCTATTTAAAAATAAAAGCCCTTGAGATGAGCCTTGCAATATTTCCCACCCCGAAACAAGACAAAAAGACATGTTAGCTCATTAAATTTAATGTTGCTTGGTTGAAAGAGCAGCAGACAGCTCTTTACTGACTTGAAAACAAGTTCAAACACAGAGCCAATTCAACACACACACGTCTAACTCACCTAATACAGACAGCTTCAAATTCAACCTGTTCCAATCTTTTGCTTTTCCTTCCAGACAGAAGTAGCGGAGTGTGTTGGATACAGAGCTGCTATTTAAGCACTGACTGAACACACACACACATATATATTCACTCCCTCTAGCAGCCCTTATCTACAGTCTTAGACCGCTTGCATAACATGGCTGTTTAATTTCTTCTCTTTTTAAAAAAAGTGACCTAATAGACAAAGTTTCCCATGGTCCAATTCCTTATTTCAGCATTTTATGAAACCATAATGAAAGAGGGTGGGAAAGGAGAGGAGGCTTTTGGCCGTGTCATGCCAGGCCCATTTCATGGATGTGGGAAAAATTCCTTCCTGTCCCATTTGCCCTGAATCTCACCCTAGATATGAATCCCGAGGAGAGGAACCAAACAGAACTTATATTCAGCTCAACATATCTCCTTGTGTGCATCTGTCTATTTGAGACTGAGGAAAACATGTAAAGACAAGTCATGGAAATGACAGCTAGGAATGGGAATCTCAATTCTAATTCTGAATTCTCCAACCTTAATGATTCCATCGATTCTCCTATGTTAGTACAGTTTTGTATAGTATTATTTGAACCCAGTCGCCCCTAGGTGAATAACCGTTGCTAACTATATAAAGAAATATACAAATATACTAAGGAAAGACTTAAAGGGTTAGTTCACCCAAAAATGAAAATTCTGTCATTAATTACTCACCCTCATGTCGTTCCAAACCCATAAGACTTTTGTTCATCTTCAGAACACAAATTAAAATATTTTTGATGAAATCCGAGAGCTTTCTGACCCTCCATGTGACATCAGTGGTTCAACTAATGTTATGAAGCCACGAGAATATTTTTTTGTTCGCAAGAAAACAAAAATAACTTTATTCAAAAATTTCTTCTCTTCCATGTCAGTCTTCGATGCGCATTCTAAAGATGAACAAAGTAGGGCATGTATTAAAAAAACCTAAATAAAAAATGTGGCTGTGTATACATATACATACATACAAACATACACGCATATATATACACACATACATATACACACACACATATATACACACATATACATATACATTATATATACTGTATGTATGTATGTATGTATATATATATATATATATATATATATATATGCGCATGTATGAAGAGTTATTTGCAAAAACAGATAACTCCGTTTTTATTCATTTTCATTAATCATGTTTTTTATTGTGTTATGTTTTTATTGTGTTTTATTATGTTAGTTAATTAAGCAGGCACAGATCTGGATAAATCTATACTGAAAAACCGTAACTATAAATTGTTTTATGAATAGACAGTCAGTAATTTAACTATTTAAGTCTTGCCATTATTATCCACACAGACAGTTCTCGGTTCATTTTGAGTTGCTAAAAGTAATACAGTGAGTTAGTCAAGAACTGTTACAACAGATTCAGTAAGTGTGTGAGTCAGACTGATTCTTTGGCCTGATTATACTGATTTAACACTCATTAGCTTGAGTCTTTTTGGCTGATTCTTTAAATAAATAGTTTGAATCAAACAGACTGGCTAAAGGGCAAACCACAACCCTTCCTGGTGACAAGTCAAAACTTTGGAGAGACATAGCTTCATTAAGTGTGACAGTGTGAATCTCCCCAGCTTAGCGCCACACTATAGGCCTACTGTATAACCAAATCTGACCTTTGAATTAAATAAGCAGATTTTCATGTTTGTTTAATGCATACCTGATATGGAAGCTCTCTCCATAAGGCAGCACAGAGAAGGCGGCACACAAAGACCTTTTGGCGCAGATAAGCACGATCCTGCAGTGGTGAACACAAACTAGTTAACATTACGCACTCTTTCTCCACACAGACACATATAAACAAAACTCCATAACACAAATGACACACTAATCTCGCAGTACATTCAGATCAAGAACAAACACAACACCTGTGACACAAGAGGGGTCAAATAGGGCAGCCTTCAAAATACACTCCTGCCTCATCAACACACACACACGCAGCTAAAACACCTGCACTATCAGCCCCAGTGTACACTTCTCTCTCACTTCTTCACACAAACACACAGGATGTGGGGGGTGTGTGTGTGTCAGCTATTGGTATGTGACTGCATTTTAACCATAGAAATGTGAAAGGGTGGTAAAATGGCAGTTAACATGAAACTGAGGGTCGGCCGCAGCAGCCTAGAGGATTTTTCTGACTCTTTCTTTGTCATAAGTCACATGACAGTGGAGAAATGGCTCCAGAAATAACAGTGAGCATGAGTCAGGGCAATTAACAATCATTTTCTAGAGATTTCTGGAATCGATTTCCATTTATATCTCCGGTATCAATTTTGGAATTAATAGATTTTAACAACCATAATTTTTCATTCACAAATGAAGTGTCTCCATTATGAAAACCACTACCCAATGGGGGATTCAGCTTTTCAGTTTAAAGGGGTCATATGATGCTGCTAAAAAGAACATTATTTTGTGTATTTGGTGTAATGAAATGTGTTTATGCGGTTTAAAGTAAAAAAAAACACATTATTTTCCACATACTGTACATTACTGTTTCTCCTCTATGCCCCGCCTTTCTGAAACGCGTCGATTTTTACAAAACTAATCGGTCTGAAAAGCGAGGTGTGCTCTGATTAGCCAGCTATCCAGTGCGTTGTGATTGACCGAATACCTCAAGAGTCTTTGCAACTTTACAGATCTTCTTTATGCACCAAGAGCTTGTAACACTCTAAAGAGAAAGGAAAAAATGAAATCGCATCATATGACCCCTTTGCAATTCATGTTTATTTGTATCATTGCAAATTAGCTTCAAAGAAAATGAAAGTTTCCACATTACAATTAGGAGTAGTTTATCAGTGGCTGCTATGTCAAGGTGATTTTCAGATTGTTTATTACATTTTAAACAGGTTTTATTGAAAAATGCTATATTAAACTATATTGAACCCAAAAATAGGATATGACCCCTTAAATTACAAATGTTTAATTTCAGTTATCTGACTGGATATTATGGTGAATTCTGCAACAGTGCCCCATTGTTTTCTATAGGGAACAGTATTAGCCTACAAATTTTTTCTTTTTTTTTATACTGAGTATCTGCATTTGTTCTATAGATGAGGCCACTGAGCACCAGGCTTATCTGGATCTGTGATCATCCAGTGGAAAATATCTTATCGGTTTTATTCGCCCGCCCCCAATCCTGTCTGTGACCCTGTGAATGTGAGTAGGTACGTGCGTATTTGTGTGTGAAAAAAGCCTGGGAACACAAGCGGAAAATATGGACCCCTGTCTATTTGGGGCAATTTATAATGGGATTTTAGTAAACATAGCCGTCGTTCCTCAGATGGAATGGGGCCAGATCTCACAAAGAACAGCCACTTCCTTAAGAGAACACAAATCCCATCCAGTCATTCCTTAGGTTGAGTGTACTATGCCAAAACTTGTCATAATATCCGATTATAATGTTATGTAAAGTCAGATAACTGAAATTCAAATTTTGTAACATAGGGTTCATATCCTGTTTTGGGGTTCAATGTAGTTGGCATTCTTCAGTAAAACATGAGCGGAGTTTATAAAACAATTGGCATCAAAATGTGCTGCTGAAACGGTTAAGATCAGATGAAAATTAAGCAAGGCTGAGTTTATTTGATAAAAACAATACATTAATATTGTGAAATATTATTACAATTTAAAATAAATGTTTTCTATTTGAATATACAGTTAGGTCCATATATATTTGGCCACTGACACAATTTTCATAATTTTGTCTCTGTATGCCACCAGAATAGAATTAAAATGAAACAAGATGAAATTGAAGTGCAGACTTTAAGCTTTAATTCAAGAGGTTAAACAAAAATATAAAATGCTTAGGAATTACAACCGTTTTATACACAGCCCCCCCCCCCATTTTCAGGGGCTCAAATGTAATTGGACAAATAAATATAATCATAAATAAAATGCTAATTTTTAATATTTTGTTGAGAATCTTTGCAGGCAATGAGTGCCTTAAGTCTGGATCTCATGGACATCACCAGAGGCTGGGTTTTCTCCTTTGTGATGCTTTGCCAGGCCTTTACTGCAGCTGACTTCAGTTGTTGTTTGTTTGTGGGTCTTTCTGCCTTTAGTTTTGTCTTCAGCAAGTGAAATGCATGCTCAATCGGGTTGAAATCAGGAGATTGACTTGGCCATTGCTAAATATTCCACTTTTTTTACCTTCAAAAACTCCAGGGTTGCTTTTGCTGTATGTTTTGGGTCATCGTCCATTTGTACTATGAAGCGC